GACAGAAAGATAGACAGATGAATGAATGAATAAATAAACAAACATTTATTAACCATCTACTATGTAGGAGGCTTGGTGCTAAGCTCTGGGGACACAATAAGAAGCAATTCAGTCTCTGCCCTCAAGGATCTTACAATTTAATGCAGGGGTGGGGAACCTGTAGCCTGGAGGCCACAGTTTCCCCAACCCTGATCTAATAGATCCCTGGGCCCTTGCAAAATTTGGCTCATATGTTACATTGAGGCTCTTCCTGACACCTCCACAAAATTATTAATGTGCCTCAAATTACATCGCATTTAATATCTCGTATATACTTTGTAGGAGCATGGAACAGGTAAAACATCATAAGCTCTGGAGTCAAAGAACCTATATTTAAATCCCAAATCAGACATATATCACATGTGTGGCCTTGAGCAAGTAAGTCACTTAATTTCCTGGAGCTTCAGCTTCCTCAAAGAATAAAATCAGGGAGTGAATTCAGGTGTCAAACGCATAGCCCTCAGATCATAAGCTGCCTCAAAAATAGATTAAAATGTAATTAGGAAATAATTAACAAAATAAGTAAAAATTACAATGTAAATAAATACTGGTGGTTAAATTTTGGTTTTCTAGGAATATTTGGCCCCCAAGGATCCTTTTATCTAAGTGTGACACCAATGAATTAGATGACCTCTGAAGCTTCTTGGAAGTCTAGAGCTGTGATTCTGTGATCTACTTGTGCTCTTTTCCCTGATAGAACAGAGGCTCCTTCTGGGTAGGAACTATTTCACTTTTGCTTTAATACTCCCAATGCATGGTACATAGCTTGCTGGCTGACTAATTAATCAGTTTCAATATCATTTCCACTCCCATACACTGAAATCCAGTCTTTTTTTTTTTTTAAGGGAGGCAATTGGGGTTAAGTGACTTGCCCAGAGTCACACAGCTAGTAAGTGTTATGTGTCTGAGGTCACATTTGAACTCGGGTCCTCCTGATTCCAGGGCTGGTGCTCTATCTACTGTGTCACCTAGCTGCCCCCAGTCTTTCTTTCTGGTCCTCACATACAACATTCCATCTCTGGTCTTCATTCCTTGGCACTCTGTTTTCCGTATTTGGAATGAATTCTCTCCTTACCCCTACCTCATTACCTATCTTAAATATGTAATTTGAGCATCCCCTTCCCCTTCCTGATAAAGTCCTTCCTGAGCCCCCCCAACCACTAGTGTCTTCACTCCATATTCATTCCCCTTAGGTTCATTCCATACTTATTTACAGAGGTACTTATTGTCTCCCACATTTGAATACAAGCTCTCTGACGACAGAAATAGTTTAATTCATTTTCTTTGTGGCTTGGGCCCTGCCCTATTGCCTAAACACAGTGTCTGGCACACAGTAAATACTTAATAAATTATCTTAATAAAAGTATCAGGTACTTAATAAATTGATTATCACCCCCTACTCAATAAAATCCAATGATTCCCTATTGCCCCGAGGATCAAATACAAAATCCTCCATTTGGTATAACTCAGGCATGCTCCTTAACTTAAATAATTAATTAAACTAACTTAATTTAAACCTAATTTCTCTACCCTAGGTCATAGTAGGGAGTTCTGACAAAAGGTGATCTACTGGAGAAGAAAAGGGCAAACCACTTCAGTATCTTTGCCAAGAAAATCCCACAGACAGTCCATGGGGTCACGAATTGTCTGACATGATTAAACAACCAAAAATAGACCTACTGATCATTTGGAGAGAAAACAATAATATCAAGCTGATTTCAATCACTATAACTATAGGGTACCCAATCTCAGCCAGTTCCTCACTTCTACTTAGCAGTTAATTTTTCTGCAGTACTCTTACTGACTCCCCACAGCAATTAAAAAACAAAAAAAATTTTTTTGAGATTTCTCTCAAGTCATTAACTCCAATCCCCAACACACAGAGCTAAAGTCCTGCCTGTCTGCTTCATCATGACAACTTAAGTCATCAGACTGCATTTCTTTCAACTCCCCTGTTCCACTTAGCATCATCATCCATTCTCTCCTCTTTCTTTCCAGTCCTGGAGAAAGAGGTATCCTGACTCCTAGCTATAGCCAATTCTTCTGATGACTGATATGGATACTTCCTCCTCCAAAAAGAATATAACCCCCTCCACACCTCATTGTGTGCAATTCTTATCCATATTTTCCCCCATAGGTCCATAAACATTTATTAAGCACCTACCATGAAAGTGCTGGAGATTAAAAAAAAGAGAGAGAGAGGTAAAAGGCCGTCCCTGCTCTCAAGTTGCTCAAAATAATGAGACAAAAAGCAAACATATACATAGAAACAAGGTATTTACAGGAACAATAGCAAATAATCAAGAGAGGGAAAACCCTAAAATTATGAGAGGCTGGGGAAGGCTTCCGGTATAAGATGAGATTTTAATTGGGACTTAAAGGAAGCCAGGGAAGTCATAGGCAGAGATGAGAAGAGAGAGTATTCCAGGCATGGAGAAACAGCCAGTGAAAAGGCCCCCAAAGAGCAATTGTTTGTGTCACTGGATCAAAGGATACCTGATAGAGAATAAGGTGTAAGAATCCTGGAGAGGTAGGAAGGGGGTAAGTTATGAAGGGCTGAATTAAGAATTAAACAATCTGGAATGGTACAAGTGGGGAAAGGGGAGGGTAGGTTAGAGGTAGGAAGAAGAGAGGAATTCTAAGATGCTGGTTAGAGTCATTAAAGTGGCAGCCCATAGAATCGAGTCTGGGTATAAAGGCAAGTGAAGCCAGATGGAGGCAGGAAATGTGTTGGGATCGAGGTAATGAAGGTTATCATGAGTTAAAGGGCAGATTTAGTGAGAGTGAGTAGCACAAAAAGTGCAGTGGAAAAATCGCCCAGGGCTACAGTTTGGCAAGGTATGATTGGCAGCAGAGCAGAGAGGCTAGAGACTCAAGGAAAGAGGACTACGTATAACTGAACTCATTAGCAAGAGGGTCAGGAAAATGAAAAGGAAGTCAGAAGAAGGGGGATGGATTGAGAGAACAAGGTCGATTGGAGAAGCTAGAGTTTGTGATGAGGATGAAGAAAAGATTTAGGAGAAATGAGGAAAAGGGAAAATAAGAGAGGAGCTACAGAGTTAAAATCATGAAGGTAGCAGTGCTTTGGAGGATAGAGAGTGAGAATGTAAGTCCTGAGGGTGGAGGAGGTCAATGAACTGGGACCCAAGACTGGGTGAGGAGACACCAACAGGTGCACTGAAGTTACTGAATAGGAGAGCAGGGTTGGGGGTGCAGGGAAAGATGTGAGTTTAACAAGGGCAGAAAGGGAAAATTCTCAGAGGCCAGTAAATGATTCTATTAAAGGTGATCTACAGATAAGTGGAGCGAGCCCCAAAGCAGAGGACTACACAGGGTTAGATGCCATTCCTCACACTATGGCCCCATTGTGCAAATGGGTTCTCATGGTTTGGTTGGTGTTTCTTTTTTCTTCCCTACTTGGGGCTGAGCTGGTCTACTGCTGAGCCAGGGCCTCCTCAAAGGACCAGCTGTAGTGCAGAGGAACAACAGAAGTTATCACTGAGAGCCCAAGAGAGCCACTCCCTTTCAATGCCTGTCAGCATCTTGGGCTACAATACTCAGGGGTTAAGAGACTTGCCCAGAGTCACACCGCCATCACTGAGGGGCAGAACTTGGGTCTTCCTAACTCCACCTCCAGCTCTCTATTCACTGGCATCCGGGTTGTGCTGTGGATAGAGAGCAGGTGGTAGAGTCAGGAAGCCCTGAGTTCAAATCCAGCCTCCCACACTTACTAATTGTGTTACCCTGGGTAAGTCACTTACCTGCTATTTAACTCGATTTCCTCATCCGTAAAATGAGGATGATAATACTATCTACCTTCTCAGGGTTGTTGTATGAGGATCAAATGAGACACTAACGGTAAAGCACTTAGCACAGTGCCTGGCACATAGTACACACTGTACAAGTGTTAGTAAGTATTATTATCAAGTGACTTGCCTAGGGTCACACAGCCAGTATGGGGGAGAGGCCGCAGGTGATCCCAGGTCTTCCTGCCTCCATTGCCAGCTCTCTATTCAATATGACAGCCAGGTGGTACAACTCATAGAGTGCAGGCCTGTAGTCAGGAAGACCTGAGTTCAAATCCAGCCTCAGACACTTAATACCTGGGTCACCCTGGGCCAGTCACTTCACTTCCATTTGCCTCGGTTTCCTCATATGTAAAATGGGGATAATAATACCACCTACCTCCCAGGGTTGTCTCGAGGATCAAATGAGATAATAACTGCAGTTCCTGGTACATAGTAGGTGCTATATATATATATATATATATGAGCCAGAATTATTATATATGAGTAATCTAATTATTATAATAATTATAATTATATAACTATATAAATAAAATAAAATATAACATAATTATGTGATAGAATAAAATAATATAATAATGACATAATATGATAATATAATAATTATAATATTACTTATTATGGTACACTACCTATCAAACAGAAACCACAAGTACGTATTTAGAGCCAGAAGGGACCTCAGAGGACATGAAACCCATAACTTCAATTTCACTAGTGGGGAAACTGAGGCCTAAAGGGGCCCAGGGACTTTACTCCAAATCCCAACTGGCATTAAATAGCTGACGTGAAATTTGAACCCAGGTCCTCTGGCATCAAATCCTGCTCACCGTCCACTGTACCATGTTGTATGTTATATTTTAAGGAGAAAACAAAACCCCTCCTTCAAACAATCCCTCACCTCTGGGCACTCGAGAAAGTAAGCAGGTGCCCTTCACAACCAAGTACCTTTCAATCTGCACTCATCAGCTATAATAGGAAAATTAACTATTCCAGCTGCCTCAAGGAAGAGCTGATTTAATTGAGACTTCATTAAACGACAAGATTTATAGACTTCCTCTCTTGCCGCTTCCCTCACATAGCCGGGCCCTGGCTGCTAATGGCCTGCGGTCATGGGCAAGCTGGGCGCTGAACGCGCTATGAGTGAACGTCAGGTACCTTAGCTGCTTCAGGAACTCAACGTCAGAGTTGCTGTTAATGAGCTTGATGAACTCTTCATAAGAAGGAGCATACGTGTAGGCTTTCTTGTGGTGCTCATTCACCTGTTCTCTGTATTCCAGCTGGGCCAGTAGCATCTGGTTAATATAATCAGGGTCACTCAGCAACTCCACCACAGGCTGCAAGACTGAAGGAAACAGAAGGCATTGAACCGTCATCCCTTTTTTGTCCAGTTTGTTTTGTTTCTTAATAGACATATAAACCAACATGCACATTTCAGGCTTACTTTTTGGACACACATGTAACCTAAAGTTAATTTTTTGGCAGGGATCAGACCTATGATTTTATTGCTTTAGGGCAAATTTTCCTTACCAATGCAAGTCTCTGCATGCTACAGTCTTGGTTATGTGGGTCATTAAGAATTTAAGTGACTTGCCCAAGGTCCCACGGCCAGTTTGTGTCAGAGGCAGGACCCGAACCCAGGTCTTTCTGACTGCCCCTATCCACTGTACCAGGGTGCCTCTTCTAACATAGCTAGACAGAGCAATCTCTTTGTTCATCTAAAATGAATAGATGCCATTTTAAAATAAGATTAATTAAGAGCATCTAAAATGAATAGATGATGTTTGAAAATAGATTAATTAATAGCATCTAAAATGAATAGATGCTCTTTCAAAAAATCCTCACAAGCAGGCTCTCACCCATCCAATGAAATGATCCAGGGTGATCTGTCCATCTCTGGATGTTCTACCAAACACTGACATAGCACTTTCTCCATTAAGAAACAAAGATAAGGGTGGGGGGAGCAAGGAAAGAAGTTGCCAGGATCCCACACTCCTCTGCTAAAATGTTCCTCCTCTAAAATCCATACATTGAAATCTTTGATTATGCCTTAAATGAAGATTCCAGATATTTTAATTAGCCTAGTGTGCCCAAATATAAGGGCCGACACTCTTATGACACACCAGTAGAGACTCCAGGCTAATTTCATTTGTGACTACAGAACAAGAGAAAAGACAGAATATTAATTGGGTATAACAATTCACTTTACTGTTCTCAGATCCAAAAATGTCCCTTACGTTTTTTTAAAGGTGCTGTGGGTTGATTACCAGAACACAGAGAAAATGATGCACCTCAAACCACACCGTCTGCAAACGCATAGTTAAACATTTCTTTTATCTGCAAAGTTCCAGGTTGCTCACTGGCTGGTTTTTCAACCATCTGTCTCTGTGTCACTGATCCTGGCAGAGACTAATGTATATAATGGTGGAAACAGTGCATGTAAAAATAATGCCTAGGCCAAGTGAGACTTCCCAGGTCTGACAGCAAAGAATGACTCCCTCTCTAAGGGCATGCAAGGAGTAGAATGTAGGCATGAGTTTATTGTCAGAAGCGGTTAGTTTTACTTAAAGGTACTTCTGCTGCACAGTAGAGGAGAGTTGATAATGTATTATTTATTTGATTGTCCATTTATTTTTAAAGAGAAAGGGCACTGATTGAAAAAAGAAAAACAAAGTTTTCCTCCTAATTAGTTGTGTGACCTTTTCTCTGAGACTCAGTTTCCTCATTTTTAAATAAGAGGACTATATGCTCTTTCCCGCTTCAAAATACTGAAGTAACTGGAATCTTTTGGAATTGTACAGAAAGTTTATAGATTGAGATTTTCTTTTCAAAGACTCCTGCCTTTTAGTACAAAATCTTTTCTCACCTAAAAGTGAAATTAAGCAAACAACAGTTTAGCTGTCTACTGAAATTCCAGGCTATGATATGTTTTTCTTAAGTAAGGTACTTTAAGGGTTTGCCTTTCTTTTTTTTTTTCTTTCAAGCTGAGCATTTTGCCATGCATAGCTATTCATTCTATTTCTTTTAGAGTATATATAAAGCGCTGTAATGTTCTTGCTCTTTAATTTATCTTGCATTTGTATAAACCATGAAAAACAAATCAAGAAGCTCCAAGACCCACCACTGCCAATGAAATTCTAAATCTTACAGTATTTAAATGCTCCATCAGGACTGGATTCACATGGGTTTCCTTACCCTGACATTTATGTCTGTATGACCTAGGGCAAATCACTTAACCCCTGTAGGCCTCAATTTTCTCTTGTATAAAAAGAGGGAGTTAGACTGGATGACCTCTGAGGTCCCTTTCCACTTTAAGTCTAGGATTCTGTGTTAATTAATGCCCCAGCAGACACAAAGGCTATCATGAACCGCTACTTCCCTAAGGAGGACAGAAGGAACACCTCTGTCATTTCAAAATAAATAAGAGGATGGGTTGTTCACTTGACCATCTGTCACTATCTATTTTTACATTTCTCATGGATGTCCAAAGGATGCTCTCTTTGCCGCTCTATTTCCACATGAAATTTTCTGGAAATTTGATTTTCACACTTCCAAAACGAGAGTACAAGGTGAGTGTATGTGCCATAAAAAGTGTTATCAACACATTTGTATGCACAGAGATCTAGTCATCTAAAAGCAATCTCAATTGTATAAGTCTACCTTTTGTTGTGAGAATTTCTGCAAGGACTATGCGCAAGCTGAGAGATTGGACATCCTTTGAGGGGAGGAGACAAAACACGAGAACCCGAGAACATGTTTGTAGGAACCTTACTTCTTCATCCGAGTTCCTTAAGCATGCATGTAATAAAAAGGGCCTCGGCTGCTCTTCATGTCTAAAAATAGAAGGAAAGGGGGAGTGGGGTGGGAGAAAATTGTGGAAGTGAGTCATCTAAAAGGACAGTTTGTTATTTGTACATAACGAAAAAGAAGCTGCCCAAATGAGCAAAACAGAAACATATTTGAAAAAATATTTTTCTACATGTGACATTTTACCAATTTTTTCTTCATGTGACATTTTACCAATACCTACATTTCCTTAGGTCAAAATCCCACTTCTGTCACTTACCACCTGGATGACCTTAGGTCAGTTGTTTAACCTTCCTGAAATTGAGTTTCCTGTTCTGTAAAACGAGGGGTTTAGATTTAAAATGGGAAACTTATCTAAGGATAGGCTAGCTCAGATTACTCTAGCCTCAAGCAACTTAAAATTTTATTTTTAGTTCCAAATTCTCTCCCTCCCACCTCTACCTCCCCAACTTATTCAGAAGGGAAGAAAAATAAAACTGTTATAGACATGTATAGTCAAACAAAATAAATTTAAGGAAAGGAAAGAAAGGAGAGGGAGAGAGAGAGAAAGAGAGAAAGGAAGGAAGGAAGGAAGGAATAAAAAGAAAGAAAGAAAGAAAAAGAAAGAAAGAAAGAAAGAAAGAAAGAAAGAAAGAAAGAAAGAAAGAAAGAAAGAAAGAAAGAAAGAAAGAAAGAAAGAAAGAAAGAAAAGAGAGGGAGAAAGAGAAGGAGAAGGAAGGGAAGGGAAGGAGAGATGAGAAAAAATATGCTTTAGTCTGCACTCTTGAGTTCATCACCACTCTTCAATATTAGGTGGGCAGCATGTTTCATCATGAACCTTTTGGTTCCTAAATTTTACAAAATTGTTTTTATAAAATCTTTACAACATTGTTACTATTGTATAAAATTATTCTCCTGGTTCTGCTTACTTCATTTTGGATCAGTTCATAAATGTCTTCCCAGGATTTTCTGAAACCTTCCCCTTCCCATTATTTCTTTTACAGCACAATAGTATTCCATCATATTTATACACCATGAATATAATAACTTATTCAGTCATTCCCCAATGGATGGATACTCCCCCAATTTCCAATTCTTTGCTACCAGAAAAAGAGCTGCTATAAATATTTTTGTACACATGGCCCTTTTCTTCTTCTTTTTGTTTCTTTGAGGAATGAGCCTAGTAGCAGTACCACTGGACCAAAGGATATGTCCAGTTTAATAAGGAGCTTTTGGAGCATAGTTACAAAATTGCTTTCCAGAATTAGCCTCAGGCATGACCATGCTTAATGACTACACTTAACGGCTTTTCCTCAGTCCTTATTCTTTCTGACCTCATGGAAGGAGGACTTTTTTTTTCTTTTTGTTAAATAATTAATTTAGTTTTAGTTTTCAACATTCATTTCCACAAGATTTTGAGTTTTAAATTTTCTCCCCCTCCTTCTTCTCTACCCTCCCCAAGACAGTATGCAATCTGATATAGGCTCTAGTTATACACTCATCTTAAGCATATTTTCACATTGGTCAAGATGTAAAGGACAATTAGAACTAATAGGAGGAACCATGAGAATGAAGCAATAAAACAAAACAACAAAGGAAAAGGACAGCAAATACTATGCTTCCATCCGCATTCAGACTCCATATTTCTTTCTCTGGATGTGGATAGCATTTTCCATCATGAGTCTTCTGGAGTTGTCGTAGATCCTTGCATTGCTGAGAAGAGCTAAATCTATCAAAGTCATTCATTACATAGTGTGGCTGTTATTATGTACAATGTTCTCCTGGTTCTGCTCATTTCACTCAGCATCAGTTCATGTAATTCTTTCCAGGTTTTTCTGAAGTCCGCCTGCTCATCATTTCTTACAGCACAATAATATTCCATTACATTCATATATCACAACCTGTTCAGCCATTCCCCAGTTGATGCACATCTCCTCAATTTCCAATTATTTGCCACCACAAAAAGAGCTGTTATAAATATTTTTGTATATGTGGGTCCTTTTCCCATTTGTATGATCTCTTTGGGATACAGCCCTAGAAGTGCTATTGCTGGGTCAAAGGCTATGCACATTTTTATAGCCCTTTGTGCATAGTTCCAAATTTCTCTCCAAAATGGTTGGATCAGTTCACAACTTCACCAACAATACATTAGTGTCCCAATTTTCCCACATCCTCTCCAACATTTATCATTTTCTTGTTTTGTCATGTTAGCCAATTTGATAGGTGTAATGTGGTACCTGAGAGTCGTTTTGATTTGCATTTCTCTAATCAATAGTGATTTAGAACATTTTTTCATATGACTATAGATAGCTTTAATTTCTGGAAGGAAGACTTCTTGAAATTCTCTGCTGCCTTAGTTTTGGTGTCATGACACCTATTTCTCTGTTTGCTCTTTTCCTCCTTCCCTCTTCCCCCATATATTTGTGCAGTCCCAAAAGCTGGGCTCTGGATCTCTCTCTTCATTTTGCACTTTTTCCCTTAGTGATCTCATCTACTCCCTTCTCTTCAATTCTTATCACTCTGTGGATGATTCCTGAAGGTATATCTCCAATCCCGAACTACTTCCTGAGTATTACATCCACATTTCTCACACTGGTCAAAAGACCTCTAGAGACCTGGATCTTCTACTGGCACTGCAAATTCAAAAGATGTTTGACGGTCCGCAAAACCATCCCACCTCCTGGTGTTCCTATTTCTGTTACCATCACTACTATTTTCTCATTTTCCCCCCCTTTTTTGCATACTTTGGTTCTAAAAGCAGTAACAATCAACAAAAACAAATATTGAAATGCACAAACAAAAATAAAAAAGACAGCACATGAAACCACAAACTCCATTATTTACGTGTTGGTTTTGAAAGGTGTACATTAACTGTACTTCCCCCCAATTAATGGCATTTTATTTTTTTCCAATTACATGTAAAGACAGTTTTCAACATTTAAGATTTGGGGTACCAAATTTTTCTCTCTCCCTCTCCTTCCTTCACCCCTCCCTAAGACATCTAGTAATCTGATATAGGTTATACATGTACAACAACTTTAACAACATTAACTTCATGTTGGCTTCCACATCTCCTTCTGATAGTGTAAATTTCCCTTAGATTTTTTTGTTGCTACCATTTACATCATTAGTGTCAGGATACGGATTGTTCTGATTCTGCTTGCTTCATTTTGCATCATTTCAAATATATTTCCCCATTTTTTTTGAAGTCTTCATACTTTTACTGTCTTATGGAACAATGATAGCCTGTAAAGCTCATGTTACATGATTTGTTCAGCTGTTCTCTAATTGGTAGAAATGAGTTTATCTTTAATTGCTTGCTAACATAAACAGTATTGCTATGAATGTTTAGGTCTTCTTTTCCTTTCAATAACATCTTTAGAGTATAATAGGGGATTCACTAGGAAGTAGCCAGGCGGCTCAATGGATAGAATGCTGGGCCTGGAGTCAGAAAGACCCAAGGTAAAATATGGCCTCACTTATTAGCTATGTGACTCTGGGCAAGTCACTTAACCTTTGTTTGCTTTAATCTACCGGAGAAGGAAATGGCAAACTACTCCAGTATCTCTGCCAAGAAAACTCCACGGATAGTATGGTCCACAGGGCCATGAAGAGTTGGACTCACTGGGTCAAAGTTTGTGGCCAGCTCCTGTATCTTGCTATACTGCTAGACAAAAAAAACCCTATCAATTCACAGCACACATCCCACCCCCCACCATAGTGCCTGTTTCTTCACAGACCTGCCAAACATGGAATGTTATTTTTCTTAACTACCTTTCACAATTTGATGGGTCCAAGGTGGTATCTTCAAGTTGTTTTCATTTGGATTGCTCTGATTATTACGGAGCTTAAATATTTTTTCAGGTGGTTAATGATATTGGCGTACCTTCTTTTGAGAACACTCTGCTCATAGTCCATCCCCACTCGCCAGGTAACTAGGGGCTAACCTAAGCATCTTGCCATCTGCACTCTTTTCCTCCCAGTGACCCTCCATGCTGGCCATCCAGGGAGCTTCCCCTTTGTTCCCACATTCCTTGTCCCACTCAGCTTTGGAACTCGGGACTCTGTCCTGGGGCTGAGCTCTCTTGATTGGTATATGGGAACAAATATCAATTCATCTAAGCTACTGGATCTTTGGACTGGTCCAGACCATACTTCCAATTCCATGCAGTCACCCACTGGGAAACTGGAGCCTTTTCAAGCATCTTGCTATCTGCCCTGCCACCATATCTATATTCTACCCCTATTCCTTCTTTCACCTCTTGTTCTGGGAACCGTTATCATAAATCAATGCCACCATCACTGCAGGAAAGGGATTGGCAATCTACTGCTCTATGGCTCTACTCATAATCCCTGTGACTCCTCACACCAAAACTCCTTTCTCTGGCCACCACTGTCCTCCTATACATGCTATTTCTCCTGACTAGAATATAAGCTGCTGGAGGACAGGCCCAGCCTCACATTTGCGTCTGTATCCTTATTGCCTGGCACAGTACCTAGAATGTAACAGGTGCCTAATAAATGCTATTTCATTCATTCATTTAACCATCTAACCATTCATCTAACATCCTCAAGTCTTTTAACCTTGATTTAACTAAACTTTTGATGTCATATTCTTATTAGAAATATTCACAGCTAAAATTTTTCCCTAATGTTACCTTCCTTTTATATTTTTTGATGCATATTGTTTTTTTAACACTAAACTTTTATAAAATGAAATCCATCTGTTTTGTCATCTATAATTTCTAATTGTTGAAGGTGGAAATTCTCATTACACATCTGTGATAGATATGTTATTCTAATTTCTTTTTTTTTATATCTGGACTATTAATCCACTTAAAATTTAATGTAGTATATGGAATGAAATGTGGATTTAATCTCACTTTTGTCATACTGCCATGTAATTTTTCCAATGGTTTTTATTTAATAATGATTTTCATCCCCAATATTTTCTTATCTTGGATTTCTCGATTACTACCCTGTTATATGCCTTTAGTCCTAATTTCTCTATTTCTCTATCATCGATCTATTTTTTCTTCAATATCAT